CCCCATACCCCCCCAGCATCTGATTTCATTTTATATATGTTGACAAAGAAGCCAAAGCTGCTCCGCCTGCTGAGAAATGCAAACCAGGAGGGAGGGGGGAGAGGGAGGGGGGGGGTGTAAATATAGAAATGTGCTTGAACACTGCAGCGTGACAGAAGACAAAGACAACGAGAACAGGTGACAAAAAGACAGGTCCAACAAACTGGTCCCACTGACCCACCCACTGACCTTGGTAGTGAGCTGTACTGCCTCTGTGCCTGGGTGAAGGAGTCTCTCTCCTCCTGCCTCTGTCGCTGCATCTGGACCTCCACAGAGACCGAGTGTCGCCCCGGCTGACTGTGGCCCCCGGGGCCGTGGCTGCTGCTGCTGCTGGACTGCAGGCAGCCAGAGGAGGGGGTGTTAGCTGTGGCTCCATCATCATCATCATCATCATCATCATCAAACAAACGTTAAACTAAAACTGTCATTTTTCTTCGTACATTTGGCTACATCAAAGCTAACATACTTAGAAGAATACCCCCCCCTCCCCCCTTTAACCACAGACACCTACCTGTTGTTAGTGGAGTTGGGGTCTTCACTGGGGTCAAAGTGAAGGTCAGTCACTGAGTCACACAGACGGGGGGGTGAGTGGGTGAGGAGGAGGGGGGGGGTCATGCGGGACACCGGGGTTCTGTGCGGCAGGGTTTCAGTGACGGAGACTGTGACGATGGTTAGTGAGTGTTAATGAAGGACACCAAAGACTTGAACCACAGCGCCACCAACAGCCTTTTCTGTTGCGTTTGTCAGCACTGAGCATGTAGTTCTCTCTCTGCCACGTAGGTGGAGCTAAATACACATTTGAAACTGTAGTCTACCGTTCTGCTCCTGTAAACTAGGTCCGAACTTTGTCGCCAATACATAAACATCATCCATCCATCATCCATCCATCATTTATCATCCATCTCTTTCTTTCCAGTCATCACCAATCAATTCCAGAGATGATTGCCCCTGCCTCATTTGCGTTAAGTGGGTGAGGGGTGCGGGGGCAGGCGGGGGCTGCTGTCTGACGTCCAGACTGCTCCCATCAGGCTCTCAACACGTTCCTCCGTCATAAACCTGATTAGAACCTGATTAGACTGACTTAGTGTTACAACTGATCCAGGCTCAGTCACTGCCAATCAACACTGAGGGAGGTGGAGGTGAGGGGGGCACGGGTCATTGGTTGCGTGGTTTGACAGAGAAAGAACACAGTGTGTTTAATTGACTGAGATTCACTTTATCATAGGAACCCAGTCTGTCATTGCACAACAGGAGGTGGTCAAAGCTACGGTTCATACAGTGATACACAAAAACACAAGTGAGTGACCGCAGAAGATCAAAGGAGATGAATAATAAACTCACAACACTTTGATGAGAGTGAGGGTTGATTTAGACGGGGTAAGAAGGACATGTGATCCGAGCCCATCAGGAACTGCCCCTGCTGGTTAAGAACGCAGCTCAAACAGGTCAAAATGACCTTTGGTCCTGGATCCAGCACAGAGTCGCTCTGGTGTTGCACAGCATTTGCAGTGACATTTTGAGGATCCACAGTTCACAGTGTGTCAGGTCACATGTTCTTCGTACCCATTGAAAACGAGCGTCAGTTCAACATGTAAACAACACATCGTTTGAATTGTTCAACCAAAGATACACGTAGCAAGAACCGCTAACACAACAGCTAGCTACCATTTCTAGCCTGTAGTGTGTGGTCGAATAAATACATGTTATTAGAAAAGGTTTAGAAGATGAGTGGAGACGACGACATCGTCAAACCAAGAACACTTCAGGTGCAGTGCAACAAAAACCTGCTACAGCTAAAATAAATAATAAATTCTCTTTGGAAAAAAAAGAAAAAAAAAAGAAAGAAATTTGTTCGTTTAAATCGACCCCATTGTGCTTAAAAAAAAAAATCACCCAGTAAAGGTCGTTTAATTAAAAATGTTAAATTCAGACAGCAAAACATTTGGACTTTCTTAAAAAAAAAAAAAAAAAGGGGGGAAAATTCACAACACGGCGGAACAGTTAGCATCTGGATGTGGGAATGTGGCAACAGGAAACCTGTGACCTACATGGTTTTTAATTGCTCTGATCCACATCTGCTTTGTGTGGCCCACATGGACCAGCATCCAGACAGTGTGTACAACCTGAATGATTATGGTCCACGTGGGGCAGTTCATGTTTTGGGACGCTAACTGGCTACGAAAAAAATCCCATTCATCATCATTCACTGCTTTGTTCCTAGGTCACATGACCCACACTGATTTGTGGGATGGAGTGAGTTGCAAAAAAAATGGAAACACCAAAGATCTAATGACAAACCCGATGGTGGGCGGAGCCAGACGACAACACGAGAAAAGGAACGGTGGAGTGGGCCAGATGAGTAGAGTGGGCCGGATGAGTAGAGTGGGCCGGACAGTCATGTGAGTTAGTGTTGGTGACTTAAGAGGAGTCCAACCGTACATGCAGATGGTCACATGATGTTAGCATTAGCATCAGCTCAGGCCAGGAAGGTGCATGGATGTTAATGGTCAAACGGTGAAGCATTAATGGAATGGGACGTAGACTGTGGGTTACACCAGTAAGTAGACTGGATGTAGAGCTGCTGGTTTAACAGGAAACTGAGTGAGAAAAGACGTCTGTGTGGATGTTGGTAACGATCTCTGTTGTTATTGAATATATAATATATAAATATGTGTGTGTGTGTGTGTGAACTTGTTTCCAGTCTCACACAGCCTGGTCGGTCCTGAGGTTGGGCAGATGGGTGCAGTAGATGGATGGTAGCGTGTGGTGTTAGTGATGTTAGCACCATTCTCTCGTTAGCTGCTGCTTCTCCACAGAGAAACAGTGAGGTTGGATGAGGTCCAGAGTCTCGGTCTGGGCTGAGGTTTTCTCATTGACAATAACAGTCTCTCAGTTCTACAGCCGGTCTCCCCCGGGCAGCAGTGCATTGTGGGTCATTTCAGACACTCACCCAGGGCTGCTCAAAGCTGTAGGTCCTCCTGCGGTCGTCAGGATCCTCTGGGACGGTCTGGGCCTGCTGGAACTCCTGCCTCAACCTCTGTATCCGGTCGTGGTTGCTGGGGGCCAGTCGGCTGCTGTGGACGGAGGAAACCTCAGCTGTAAAAAAGCTGGACATTTACCACAGTTCAAGACAACGGTGGGACACAACTTTGGGCTAACATTTAGCTCCTTGTAGGTATTAGTCTATTTGTGGCTAACTCAGGGTTAGTGTTCTTAGATATTCTGTTTCAAGTGTCGATGATTTCAGTTCATTTTATTTCACTATTAGCTAACCCTAGGCTATTTTTATACCGGTACATCGGTGCTGTGTTTGCATTCCTGATGAATCCATCTTCAAGTCTGTTTCTGGTTTAACTAACATTTTGTTATTTTTTTGTCCCTGAACGCGTCACAACCGTCGTGGACTGAGAAACGACACCGACGTCTGACCAGAACCACAGCATCAGTGAGCAGAACCTGCAGACAGGGGTGAGGTTCATTAAAACCTCACCCGTCTGCAGAGACTGAAGGGAGGACGGGTTTCAATCAAAGACGGACGAGGCTGAAGAGGTCGGAGTGACAGAGAGAGAGAGAGAAGATGGAGCGTCAGCTGAAACCCTCAGAGCTGAAGCAGCAGAGTGGAACAAAGGGTTTGATGGGAAAAAAAAGAAGCCTGAAATCCTGCCCTGGTTCTTGACCCTGGGCCGAAACAGGAAGAAGGTTTATGAAGCACAAGTTTTTATTTCCAAATCAAAACTGAAAATAAGAAGAATTTACAGCAACATGAGAACAAAGACTGGTCCATGAACCACGTGGCTCAAACCAACAGAAACCTCATCAAAGGACCAACCGTTCTAGAAGATTCTTGTTTGGTTATTTCATCAGAGAACCCTGGGTTCTAAAGAACAGTTCCAGACGTGCGTCCACATTCCTGAGCAGGACCGTGGACAGAGAAGGAGGCGAGGAGTTCTTCTGAAGGACGGTTAGTGACAGGAGCAGCTGACGGACGGAGCTGTAATCCTGTGGATTATAGGAGAATGGAACCCTTCACACTCTCGCCTCTTCCCATGTCCATGAATCATCTTGAACCCAGCACCAACTGTACCTTCACTCACCCGTCCTCCCCCACCCTCACCCCTGTCTGAATTTCACTGCGTCACCACCAGCTCCTAAATCAACACTAACCCCACACACTCTTCACAGGACGAGAGAGAGAGCGTTAGAGCCGAGACCCCCCGGACAGGTCACAGTTTGTGGTGAGACCACTAGGGGGGGCTGTGGTTGGGGCTGGACTGACCTTCAGGTCTACAGCGTCCAGTCAGGCTTCTGTAGCACAGACGACAGCCGGGCCTTTAACACATCACATGACCCAACATGACTCAGGGGTCACGGGGTCAGAACGACGGAAACTGTTTTTCTGATCAACAGCCAAAACCAACAGTCACTTCTAAACACACATTAGCTTCAGCCAAAAATTCTACTTGAACGGCTTCTTCTTCTGCACCACAAATGGAGCTAACTGTTAGCCAAATGGTTAGCCTCAAAATACCCAAAGTCAGGATCGTGATTGTAGAATATAAACAGAGTAATTCAAGGTCAGCTAACGGACTAGCCTACACATGGGCCACAGCCAAAAACAGCTAATGCATATAGTCCAACCTTCACCAAATCTGAAAAAAATATCATTTTTTAAATAATATTATAAAATAAAAATAAAAAAAGTTCCATAAATAAAGACGGGTAGAAAACATGTTTTCCATCAGCCGTGAAGGAAGTGGGCCACGGGCCGGTGCTGAGCCCTCCCTGCACAGATTACAGCCTCACTTTAAATGACGCCTTCACCACTCCAGTCCACCAGGGATTTGAGTAATGAAACCTAACTGTCCCACATAGGACACACGTGCTCCCCACCTTCATTATGAAGTAGGACAAGATTACAGACACAGGAGAACACAGTCCGATTCATCCGACGTTAAACCGCCTGACATTGGCCTTGGATCAAACTCACAGCCTATTGGCTGCTCTTCACATCACCGCCGTCTTCACAGATCGCAGCTGAGACGACAACAGTTCTGTGTGTATCACATGACAGAGTCCAACTCCTCTGAACAGCAGCGTCTGCTGTTAAACCAGGAAAGCAATTAAATCTAATCTGCTCCGTCTGCGGATCCCAGTGTTTACACTGGGATTTTCACAAGTGTCGTCTCTCCCTGAGATTCCGAGGCTCAGATGAAATGCTACTGTGAGTCTGATGGCGGGATCAGTGCGAGGATTGTGGAGATGAAAGACGAGGGCGCTGTTAAACATGTCACTCAGTGTGGGATTAGAGGAAACACAGGAGGTCTTTGTTTTCAGGGGATTACGCCGTCTCTGAGGGACTTATGGGTAATATGTTGAAGACTGTAAATGAGGTTCTTCGATCACCTCAGGTGGAGACAAAGACGGTGGAACCCGTGGTCAGATGATGTCTCTCTGAGGTCCGACCGTCTTGAGTCCCGCTCCTGGTTCTGCTGCTCCTCCTGATGCACGCTGTGATTCAGCGTTTCTTCTGCTCTGACCTGTGGAGACTGTAACCTAGCAACAGGCAGCTTCCATCAGTGTGCGGCTCCGGTGCAGTCCACAAACCCGCGGAGAACAGAACTAATTATTCTGTTCTGACTCAACCTCGAGTCTTCCGCTCCATTAAAGGCTGGAGCGGCGCTGACTGACCAAGTCCAGTCCGGTTTCCAGCTGCCTGAGTCCACGGCACACACTCCTCCTACAGGTTGTTTCAATCACTGGCAGAGTTGGAGGATGGAGTGTGTGTGTGTGTGTGTGTGAGGAGCCTTATCAGCAGTGGATTAAGGAGGCATTAAGGAGTCCATCTTTTTTTTACATTTTCATGAGGCTCCAGCTCAACTAAACACTGATAAGGAGGCACTAATCCATCATTCTAATGAACAAAGTTCAGTCCAAGTCAGAACCCGGGTTCACTCACTTCTAAGAACAACTTTGGATTCTGGGGTTCTAGAGACAGAGGCTCAGAATGGACTTGAAAAGGTTCCACAACAGCTGAGCAGGAGGTTCTGTTGTCGTTCCCTCTTTAAAATGTTATTATTCATCTTAAACAGTTACAACCAAAAACCAACGCTGAGAAGAATGAGGAGCAAATATATCTGGGGCAGACGGTCGAAGCCCGTGATCACCGTGGTCCAAACATGAGGGGGGGTCTCTGCTGGCCCAGATCATCTGTGACATCATCTGTTGGCTCAGATGTTTAACTCTTCAGTCTGGGCTCTAATCCTGGGTTCCATCCTCCCTGACTCTGACCTCCAACAAAGAGTTCTACAGAGCCAGCAGTCCCACCGGAGCAGCTGTAGCACTTCCCCAGGTCTCAGAGGAAGACCACCATGGAATTCGGGGGTGCAGGGGGGTCAGTGGGCAGCAGATGTCCCCCCCCCACCTTCTCCTGGATTTTAACTCTATGCAGCATGAACTCCCTGAGGAGCTGAGAACAGGAGGTGCACAGGTGGAGGTCCTGACTGGTTTGGACATTCAGGGTTAGGGTTTGTGATCCCCCCCCCCATCCCCCACCCCCGACCAACACATTATAAAAAATGATTGTTATTTAGCAAAGTTATGACGGTCTGAAAAGAAATGAAACTCAGCCAAGAAAGACGGATGTTGAACTAAAAACAAAACAATTGTTCTGCAGTGATGCTGTTGTTGTCGATGATGTAAAACCAGAGGAAGAAAAACATCTCTGAAGACCAGCGCTCATCCTCAGCTCTACCTGATGCAACACAGAGACACACACACACACGAAAGATGTAAAAGTGCAGCCAATCAGACGGCAGCCCTGGAAAAACTGAAGTTGTCACATGGTTCTCCATGGTTGAAGCCCCTCTGAGGGGCTGGGATGATGGGGGGGGTTAGGGGGGAGGGGGGGGGAGGTTCTGTCTGGATAAATGCTGTCAAGATGTCCGGATGGGAGCAGTTTATGAAGGCTGAGGTGAAGACGAGGAGGAGGAGGAGGAGGAAGAGACAGATTGAGAAGTAAAGAAGGGAGACATGAGGATGGAGGGGAGGAATTTGAAGGGGAAAGGGGGGAGTCAGAGGGGGGACAATAACAGAGGGGAGTGTGTGTGTGTGTGTGAGACAGTGAAGGTGTGTGATGTGTGGAGAAAGAGCCTGAGAGATTGGAGAGTGATGATGAAGATGATGAAGAAGACCTGAGTAGAAAAGAACCAGAGACACAGTGACCTCATGGTGGTTACCATGGTTACAATGGTCCAGCATCAGGACCAATCAGACTTATGGTTTTACAAAGACCAGGACCGGGTCTCCGTCCACAGAGAAGTGGACTCAGAAATGATGGCTGGATGAATAAACAGACGGTTGGATGAGAAGAGGACTGACAGCCAATCAGAACTCACTAGAATCAGCGGAGGTTCTGTGTGATGTTGGACCTTCATCAACAGGTTCTTCAGTCTGGAACAATGTAAACTGGTAGAAACCTCTGGACTGGTACCTCACTGGTACCAGAGCACTGAGCCCGACTGTAGAACTGTAGATACAGAACTGTTCTCCTGACCTGAACCAGCAGCCCACATCAGGTGTAGACCACATCCTGGCACCACAGGAATGACTCCCTGGAGGTCCTGGAGACGGCTGCTGACTCAGGCTGATTTGACAACCCGCCACTAGGGGGGACTGAAGGGAGGAGGGGCTTTTTGGATGAAGGAGGCTTAAGTGATCAACTTTAAAAAGCCCAAGCTGTTTGGACTGATAGTGTGTGTGTGTGTGTGTGTGTGTGTGTGTGTCATCAGGTCTTCCTCTCCAGAGTCACTCTCTCTCCCAGTGGTTCAGCTAACATCGGAGCAGTTCTTCTTCTTTGTGTCAACTTTGAGCTGTTCTTTTTTTTTTTTTTTTCCAACACCTGGAACTGTTTTAGTGAAAAGGTTAATGTGACATTTTTAAAGCTACAAAACGTTTGAACTGACAAATGCTGCTGACATTCATTCTTTTTTTCCCTTCCTTTAATGAACCACAAACCCGACTCCTCTTTAACAACCACCTGAGAGAGCAGAGCTGTGGCACAGCATCGATCCTCACC